TGTTTCTATATTTTGAAGCGGTATCTAGATTAAATTTGGAGAAATTTGAGGCTATTCCAATGGGAGAGGTCTCTAAAGTGGATGAGTTGGCCACTATATTGGGTTGTAAGGTTCGCAGTTGTCTATGTCATATCTTGGGCTCCCTTTAGGGGAAGGTTTAAAATTAAACATGTTTGGAAAGAAATTGTGGAAAGGGTGGAGAGAAAGTTAGCGGGGTGGAAGCGTATGTATCTTTCAAATGGAGATAGCTTTACTTTCATTAAATCCACTCTATAATCTCCCTATTTATTTTTTGTCATTGTTTCTATCCTATTCTTATTGTAGTGGCAAATAGGTTAGAGAAGATTCAAATGAAGTTTCTTTGGGCAGGGTTGGGGAAAGAGAGAAAATTTCATTTGGTTAGTTAGGGTGTTATCAATTTTTCTATAAGGATGAGGGGCCTTGTATTGAGGAGCCTTATTTTGTTTAATAAGGCTTTATTGGACAAGTGGCTATGACGATTTGGAGTGGAGAGGAAGAGTTTTTAGATAGAAATCATAGGAGCGATGTATGGTGTGATGGAAGGGGTTGGTGCTCGATTGAGGTCGTGGAGCTTATGGGGAGATTTTGTGGAGATATATACGACGATGATGGAGTGACTTTTGAGATAAATTGACTTATGTGGTGGGAAATGGTAATAATATCAGATTTTGGGATGATTGTTGGTGTTGAGATCAACCGCTAAAGGTGTGGTTTCCTTCTTTGCATCTCATTGCTTTAGAGCCTCTGCTATGGTGAATGATGTATTAGTCATACATAATGGAAGTTACAACTAGAACATTATTTTTTTTGAAAGGTTTATAGGATTGAGAATTGGATGATTATGCATTGTTTTTTATCTCCTTGCATAAGGTGCACATCCAGGTAGGAGAAAGTGATTGTAGCAAGTGGAGGTTGGCACGGGACGATATATTTTTAAATTCGCACTTATTTTAGATCCATATTGGAACCTTTAGAGAGTTCATTCCCCTGGAAGATGGTGTGGCAATGTAAATTGCCTATACGGGTAGCATTTTTTATTGTGAACGGTTGTAAGGAAGCAGGCATTAACGGTGAATAATTTTCGAAGAAAAGGTTTTTATGTTACCAAGTGGTATTATATGTGTGAGAGAGATGGGGAGACGATTGACCAGTTGTTCATTCATTGTGATGGTGTTTGTTGGCTGTAGAATGGTATTTTGGCTTCTCAATGCATGGATTGGGCGTTGCCTGGGTGTATAGAAGAGATATTGCGGGCATAGAGGAAAAAATTTCGCGATAAGAATAATAAGCTTGTATGAGATCTTATTCGGGGATGTATTGTATGGTGTGTGTAGAGAGAAAGGAACGGCTGCTGTTTTGAAGACTAGACATGGACAACAGAATAGATCAGAGGATTGTTTATCTAACTTTGTATACTTGGTTCAATGCTGCAGCTACTAATCATATAGAAGGACTACCTACCTTCATGTCATTTCTTTTTTATTTAAATTGATAATATACTTCTCGTGTATTATCTTTTGATTAATAAAATTATCTGATTACCTATCAAAGAAATCATTTTGAATAGATTTATCTAGTCTGAGTTTTTGGTTAACCATGGGTAGCCTGAAGAACCCATGACATTTGACAGTCTCCTATGCATAAATCCATGCAGCTAGGGAATTTGTTGATTCATTAAAATCAAGCATTTGGAGTTCCAGGAATCTCTATCATTTAGGGATCTCTTATATCAAAGCTTTACTAACATGATTGCCATTACCGCAATTTAATAGGTTCGATGGGATGAAGATATCATGAGTAATCATCAGGATCGAGTTTCTCCATGGGACATTGACTTCTCAGTTACTTCACCACACCTGAGCTTTCATTCATCTCAAAGAATGAAGAAACTGCGATCTAGTCTGCCACACAACAGCCAAATTGCAGGTCCAACTTTTTTTTGTCGATGATAATTATTTTTTGTTGACATTGTTTGTTCTTATGGTAGTTCAGCTGAGGGGCTTCCGCATTACTTATATTATTATTGAATTTTAATCAGGAGGGACTTCCCTTTTGAACTTTGACGAGTCTGTTAGATCCTCCAAGGTCTTGCAAGGTCAAGAAAATGTAAGTTTAGTATCACCTCTCTTTGGACGTGATAGGATAAA